AAAACTTTGTTTAAAATCTACATATTTTACTATTAAAGACAAACTATGCTGTCAGATAAATGGAGTTGCAATGGGTTCACCAGCATCTCCAGTTGTAGCAAACCTGTATATGAAAGCTCTAGAAAGAAAAGCACTAACAAGTTTTAGTTGTCATCCTAGAATATGGTACAAATATGTAGATAACACATTTATCATCATAAAGAAAGCTGAAAAAGAAAACTTTCTAACAGAAATTAACTTAATCTCAGAATATATACAGTTTACTAATGAAGTAGAATCGGCGGAGGGAACTCTAAACTTTCTTGATTGTCTTGTAAAAAGACAAACTGACGAGAAACTAAAGTTCACCATATACAGAAAGACGACACATTCCAACAAGTATTTGAATTTCCAATCAGATCATCCAATAGGAATAAAAGATTCAGTAGCTTTAAATCCCGTTAACAGAGCTAGAAACATTATCACAGATAATGACGATATGGAGAACGAGATATCCAATATAAAACAGATTTCGATTGGAAATGGTTATCCGGAAAAGCTGCTAAATAATATTATCAATAAAAGTAACATAGGTGAAAACAGAAAACTGGAAAATCTTGGCTATCGACGATAGCCATGCCCCATATCGAAAGAAGACATCGGAACAATTTCAAAGACTTTTTGCTTCATATAATATAAAAGTCTATTTCTAGCCCTCTAATTCTCTACAGAAAGCTTTGGTAAATGTCAAGGATATCGTTCCCGAAATGTCACAAAACAATTGCGTTTACAGGATAAAGTGTTCAGAATGTGAAGCTTGCTATATGAGGTAGAGTGGTAGACAGGTGAAGGTCAGAGTGAATGAACATAGACTGTGCACGAAACGTCCACCTAGAAATGAAGTAGAATTAAAAAGTCTAGAGAAAAGATCGGCTATAGCAATGCATTCGATAGACATCGGACATAAGATTGATTTCAACAATGTCCAGTACTCCCTGCAGGTTTTCCAGTGGTTCTCTAACTGATGTCAGCTCATGATGAAATCCTCCATCCAATCAAACAAAATCCCTACAAAACCAATACTTGAAAATTTCGAAATTCTTGGAAGAGGATTTCATTCAGATAGAGAAAGGCTGACCTCTGAAGCCTTGTCCATTTTAACCACACGCTGTGATTTATTTAAATAATTTATAATGGAATAATTACCATGTTTGAAAAATTAAGAATAGTCTTATAATAATCAGGAAGGTTGACAACTAGATAGTTGTGTGATGAATACTTAATACTACTGTATAATAAGCTCTAACTGATGCATTTTAATGTTTTTGCAGCTACTGGTTTTCAATCTTTTCTCCTCTTGTCTCTTATCGCCTAAATCCAAGCGATTATTATTGAAATAAAATCTTATTCATAATGGATTATTTTTTATCAATCAACTAATTCATTGTCAAACCTCTTGGTTCTTTGATTGCACACTAGTAACTAGTGCGATGTGTCGAGCCCCTTCTTTGGTGCAGACTGAATTCTATCAGTAGAATCTCAGAAGGAGGGACATGAGTTCCTTCAAGGCTGCAGACATGCCATGCTGACTGGTGAGTGCCAACTAGCGCGTAACCTAGGTCAAGCGAGGCTTCCTGCCGATCGCCTACAACCATCTAATATCATCAAACCTCTTGATTACTCAAGACTATTCTTAATTTTTCTTAATTATATTACTCATGCATTCTGATTTGCCTCTTTATTAACTGACAATAACCTTTGACCTTTGTTGTCAATCTACAAATTAGTGTGTAGCTTTGTAGTGAAGTCTCTTTGCTGACACATATGTTCTTAATTATACGAAATGGAAAATTTTCATACCCCGATGAAATAAGTATGGAGTGTTTTTCGCCTCTAAAATGGCACTGTAGATTCAATCAGATGCTGGTGCAGATTACTTTCAAAAGAATGGAATGTTCGTCAAACGCCTAGCTAAAAGCAAGGTTTTTCACTAAGATTATTTCATGTTGCAGTAATATATATATATATATCAATTATTTTTTTTCCTTTCCCAGTGGAACATAGGGCTTCAAGCTAGTGGCTTGAAGTTTCTGTAGCAGTGTTTATTTTACAGGATGGGGTTGCTAGCCTCATGCCCAACCTTCCCTCTTTGCTAGTTCTATTACTGGCTTAGAGAGGTAAAGGAGTGCGTCGGCCGGGGATCGAACCCCGGACCATGTGCATGGTCGGCGAGCGTCCTAACCGCTATACCACCGATATATCAATTATTTAATGAGTCTAATTAAGATTATTGCAGTTTGTCCACTCATTCACTAAATATCCTTTGAATTTCATCATGAGATGACACTGGTTAGAGAACCATTGGAAAAGTAGCAGGGAGTACTGGACATCTGTTTCGTCCCAGTTTGGGGCTCTTAGGAGGTATACACCCACCACAGGAGCTTGAACCCAGGTAAAACAGGTCGACTGCGAGGACAAATACTCGTCAACGATGTCACTAGCTAGTGCCAGTCACACTATATTGGGAATTGTCAGATGTTGGAATTCATGAACTGGCCATAGGATTGGCGAGTCGCAGTGGCTTAATCGTCTACGAGTCAGCTCGCCTTGTAACCAGAAGGTCCTGGGGTTCGAGCTCTTGTGGTGGGTGCATACTGCTGAAGAGACCCGATGGAAACAGCTGTCCGGCACTCCGGTGCTGGCTGGTTTTCCAATGGTTCTCTTTAAAAACCGATATCAGCTCATGAATTCTCTGAATTGTTTATCGCCTGAGCGTTTTATTTAATTATATCTAATTTACTTATCCATTTTGATTTCTTTAGTTAAAACTTTAAAAGTTTCAATTAATTAAAAAGTGTTTTTCTTTTATAAGAAATTGGGAGTGCAGTGAATTTACCAAAATAAAACTTAGACTTATTTATCAAATGAATAGATGGATGGACAATGAAAAAATAGAGTCTTATATTTATATATCCTTTTAATTTTCAAGCTAGCAATGAAACTTCATCTTATTTAATTCACACAAAGAAGAAGAAAGAGAGAAGAAGAATAAGAAGAATGAACTAATTATTATTTAGATTTAATGGACACTGAAACCAAGCTATCTATATTATTGAATGTCATTGATATATATGTATATATAAGGTTAAGGTTGGAATGATATTTATTAATTATGAGTACAGTTAAACATTCTTCAGGCCATAAATAAAACGATTGATTTTCAGTGTTAAATTCGTTATTAATTTTTTTTGTTTTGAAGGTCATTCGATATTTCTGTTGTTTTAGAATAACATTTGGGATAAAGTCTTCATTTAAACTCAATTATTTATGCAATTCAATAAAATAATTCACCTGCCTATTTTCAATTCAAATGCTTTTAGTTCTAAGCTACTCTGAACTATAGTTGATGTATTCAAAAGTGCTTATTAAGCATTAGTAGTGTTATAGATCAGTGCGTCGATGCTTTGTTCACTGGTAGACTCCTCACCAACTACACACACACACACACACACACACACACACATAGGCTTGGATTCAATTCTTGCACTCCTATAAAAGCTCACTAAGTCAATGGTAAACGCTGTACAGAGGCAAGGTGGAGTGTTTGTGAGACTAGCAACTCCACCTTAGTAGAGAATAACCATAACTGTTACTAAGATCTTCAGAAGTGAAGTTGGAAGCCACATGTTTTTATTTGAAATACAAAACGAATGAAGTTAAGTTACTGATTCGAACCTGGGACCAGTATGGAATACTGAGAAACTAGGAGTGGATTTGTTTCCTTAGTTGTTCCTTTGCATACTTCCACTGTTTCTAAATTCCTTTTTCTTTTTTCTGAAGTTGTGTATGAACTTTCAGTAGTTTTTGAGCGGGTTTTACTTTCACATTGGATTTAATGTGAATTGTATAGTTCTTGCAGCATTTACATTTGAATAAGTCAATATCTTTTGTTTCGTTTTGGTTGAATAGAGAGTTTAATCCATGCTTTAATGATATAAGCATGCACAAAACTGATTGGTTATGTATATATATATACATAAATTCCTTTACGTTCCCAGTGGAGCTTAGGACCTCAAGCTAGAGGCTTGAAGTTTCGGTAGCAGTGGTGTTTTATCTTAACGGGATGGGGTTGCTAGCCTCATACGAACCCCAGCCTTCCCTCTTTACCAGTCTTATTACTGGCTTAGCGAGGTGAAGGAGTGAGTCGTTGGCAGAGGATCGAACCTCAGACCACATGTAGATGAAATGCATTCATCTGAATGCAAATACAGTATAAATAATTGGATTAACTGTTAACTGACTGGAAGCAGTCATCAGGCAGCCCTGAAGTTTGTATTTCCAAGCAGTCAGCTCATCTACAAAATGAAAAAGGGCTTGTGTTTAGTATGCAGAATTAAACAAACTGAGGTTGTCTGTGCGTCGGTGGCACAGTGGTGGAGCGCTCGACGACCACGCAGGTGGTCCGGGGTTCGATCCCCGGCACTCCTTTACCTCGCTAAGCCAGTAGTAAAACTGGTAAAGAGGGTAGGTTGAGCATGGGACTAGCAACCCCATGCTGTAAAAGTAATCATCACCGCTGCAGAAATTTCAAGCCGTATGTTCCACTGGGAACGTACAGGAATAAAAAAAGATGTTGTTTTATGTGGCTACGTAATTCCCTTTATCATTCCTGCGTTGCATTTAAAACAGTAACTATTTTCATGACTGAAAGACAATTATCTCGAATAGGTCTGTTCAAGGAAATATTAGGCTGGGAGTGCGATTGCCTTGCCTGTGGCTTAGCCTTTTTATCCCATAATTTAGAATTATTATGTCTAAAGTGGGCTCAGAGAAATGGCATCTCGTGTACATATATATATATATATATATATACATGGTTAGGTATATAAACGGACGTAAAACTGATACAGGATGGATTCAAATCCTTCGCATTAAATGTTTTGACACTGAGAAGAATATTTAAACAAAAATGTATTGAGTAATTGAGATTTACTTTACTTTCTCATTTTTCATCATTGTAGCCAGAAAATGAGGACAGACTGAAACAATTACAGCTAATGGAATTAGCTGTTCTAAACGGTATGACATGATTGATTATGTAATCTCTGTGCTTCTATCTTTGTGTGTGTGTGTATTTATGTGTGCGTGTGTGTTCATGTGCGTGCGTGCGTGTATTTCCGTGTGTTTATTTGCATTTTATGTGACTTTGTGTACCTGGTGCTTTAATTAAAACTGGTAATTACAATAAATAGTAACATCCATCATATTAATCTATATATATGTATATATACTTATTGCTACTCTAACATTAACCGATTAGTTTATGGGTTTACTACTTGAGCGTGTGAGTGTGAGTGTGTGTGCGTATTAGTGTGTGCTTTAACTCAATTCTCAAGAAATTGCATTTTCTTTTTCTTAGTAATAAAGAGGGGGAGAACATTTTGTTGCCCTATTTGTTTATATTTTCATTGTTCACGTTTCATACACTTACAGAAGTGACACATTACTACCATTACTGTTTTGCTAATCTATTTCTCTGCAATTTTTGTTTTCTGTGCGTGTGTACGTGTGTGTGTGTTTGTGTGTGAGAGAGAGAGAAAGAGAGTGGGGTGACAACCCTCTTTTTAGTTTTTCCTTCATTAACGATAATTACTGGTCACTTTTATGTTTTATGTGGATGTGTGTATGTATGCGTGCTTGCTAGTTAGTCAGTGCTGAATTCAGTTTTCTTCATGATGAAGTCAGTGCTACTACTACTACTACTCCCCGTTATCCTATTAACAATGAAAGCGTTTTGATCATATATGAGTAAGTTTAAATATCTACATATTGGAGTTTGGTGCTTCGCCTATTTTAAATGCTTATATTAATATAAATATGCTATTTTGAGTGTATGAGTGTATTTGTGTGTGTGTGTGTGCGTTTGTGTCAGTGAATAAATGAATGATTAGTTGCTGTAACAAGTGACTTCCTGCATACCTTTCACTTGCTATTTGTATATACATGTATAATGTATTCACTGTTTACCTTGATGATATAGCTATTTATTCCTGACACTGGTTACCCATAATGTCCTTTTTTTAATACACCATCATTTCCTTCTTATTTTTATGTAGTGTCAAAGATTAATTTTCACTGTCTGCTTAACAGTTTACCGAAGTCGAAGTGTATTGCCAGCGTATGGTGGTAATGTCTTCTTTTTGTTTTTTAAATCTTAGCCTCAATAACTACCATTAGGCTGCATCTTTATTTATCCTGCGGTAAATATCATCATCATCAAGGTCACTTGATGTTCATTTGTTCTCCTTGAAAGTTTTGTAGTTCTACAGTAATACGACTCTGCGTGTATCCCTACTTTTTTATAAATACTATTAGTATTACTGATACTTCTACTAATGCTAATACTACTGCTACTATCCTCACTAACCTTTAGAGTATTTTAACTTCCCCCCTCCTCTTGAGTTGAGAATTCAAAACTTCTGGACTCAATTTTTTTTTAAATTACACGAACGGCACGTGATATTAAACTATCATGGATTAAGATAAGAGCAATTTAAAGTCTTAGTATATCCCTTATCCGAAAATTAGGAATATTTAAAGTCTCCAATTAGGGTCGACTTGATATCCACTATCGACGAGATAAACTAGAATTGAGCTGCGTATAGCGTTCTGGTGACTTTTAACCTTTTGATTTCATCCCACCCCACCCTACCTCTTATACCTAAAAGTGACTAACTAGAATAACTACTTGACTGGTAGAAACAATTTTGATGTAAAAAGCAACCATATATTAGTGTAGAGCCAGCCAGCCAGCCAGTCAATCAGCCAGTCGATGATGAGGAACTAATGTACGAAAAGGAATGTATATTTCTTCGCTCAATTTATTGTTATTTAACATTCTCATGGATGCATAGAGTGTGTTAAACAGACAACTTCATTGGTCTATGATCAGACTTGAAACAGAGAGAATCCTCACAGATTAGCTCTTTAAAATTATTCTGACATACACTGGCGACTGGCTACAGAACAAATTTACCTGCAGTTCTGATGAGAGGTCGGCAGTGAGGGTAAATACTCGCCAATGAAACTGGCTGGTGGTCGCGGTAAAATCATGGATTAGTAGAAGTTGGCATTCATTGGCTATTGGTTAGAGTCCCAGTAACCCAACGGTCCACGAGCTCGATTTGTAGGCGTACGGTCCTAGGTTCAAGCCTCTATGGTGGGTGTGTACTGGTGAAATTTCCTAAGCTAGGATGAAACGGCTGTCCAATACTCCCTGCTGGTTTTCCACTGGTTCTCTAATTGATATCAGCTTGCGATTATATTCGATTTTTCTTAGCAAATGAAAAGTTTTTAACTTACTCAAAAAGACTTTCTTTTAATTCTTCAATTGAAGCGTAATTATTGAAGTCACTCAACCAGTGAATACCTTTAAGGCTGGGAATTTCATTGGTTTTAATTTGGTTAATTCAAAATTATATGCAGAAGAAAAACAAGTGAAGAGTACTCACACAAGATTATGTGTTGAAAAAGTCTATTTACTAGTTCCCTTTGTACTAACAAATGAAAAAGTTTTTATTTTATACAACCTAACTAACAAACATTCGATTGCATGCTCTTAATTTAAGTTTTCGTGTTTCATGAGCACATGATTTCAAAAAAAAGTATTGAATATGCTTATTATTTCTACTTAACATGTGACTGACTTGGTTCAATACTAACCTGATTGCTTTAATACAATCTATAGGAATATGAAGATCGCTCTTACCAACCAACACACTTGAATGGTTAGCCTTACTAAGTATTGTGAATAATAAGAAATAAAAAACGCCTATGCAAATATTTTAACAACTTGTAAAGCTTGAAGTCATTTGATTGATGGTAACTAGCAGTGGAATCCAGGACAGTGCGCATTTCATCCTATTTGGAACTCGTCAACTGCATGTACCTGCATTCCCCAGTGAGTCAGTGATGCTGTTCGCACCGAGGCTCGAACCCAGTGCCGGTAGTTTTAAACGCGAAGGCGTTATCCCCAAGACCAAGTGAACCACGAGAGCCACCACCTCTTGTGCAAGGGTTCTTTATTAATTATTTAATTCAGTTTTAAATTTTCCTACTACCCACTGCGAAATTCAGGTACATCCAGCTGACAAGTCTCAGATAGGATGAAATGCACGTTGTCCTGGATTCCACTGTTAGTCACCATCCACCAATTAACTTCTAATTACATGCCGAGACATCGTCGAAGCATCTGCACTAGGCGCCGACATGTCAACCTGAGAACGACCACTTCGGTCAAATCAATCGACGGAAAAATCTAAAATTCAATTGAACTTGTAAAGCTGCTCAGAATTTTAATTTCTGTCAGATTTTTATTATTTATATCCCTTAATATGACATTTTGGTTGAGAATAACTCAAAAGTGTGCAGAAAACTTCCTCCTCAGTGAGTATTTTATATAATTTCCACATGGTTGCAATGACGACTTATGCTGTTACGTTATCTGGTATTAACGTGGGTGATTGCCTACAATCTGACCCTTGAAAACTATTCTTCAAAGCATAAGTTTGTCAATAATGTTAGTATACAGAAATTAAAAACATATTTAATAATATTAATAATAATAATCTGCTTTATTCCAAGACAAACAGTACTTTTAATAGAGAATGCAATTCTCAGCATTTGTCCCAATATTGTATCTAATTTAATCAAAATATAAATAAAATTTAACCGCAGAAATCTGTCCACCTTTACAGTAGGCAGTGCGTCGGTGGCACAGCGGTAGAGTGCTCGCCAAACACGCATGTGGTCCGGGGTTCGATCCCCGGCCACCAACGCACTCCTTTACCTCGCTAAGCCAGTAGTAAGACTGGTAAACAGGGTAGGTTGGGCTTGAAGCTGGCAATTTCACCCCGTAAAAATAAATGAACACTACTGCTACCGAAACTTCAAGCCTCTAGCTTGAAGCTGTATGTTCCCCTGGGAACGTAAAGGAATAAAAAAGAAATTACAGTAGGCACAAAGTCAAAAATGTGCAAAGTAAAAATGAGAACAATAACTCTAATAGTAATAATAACAGTGGCTTTGTTTCAAAGAGTATTGTCAATACAGTATGGAAATCTTAGCATGTTATAGAGTGTTGAATCTGATGTTCTTTTGATTATAGCATGGTGAGGGGAAAAAGAAACAATAACAATCATTACAGAGCCTAAATGATGTTTACACTTATAGGAAAATAAACAAAAGAAAGTTAGAGGATTATAAATGTTATGGGAATAATAACAGTAAAACTTTATGTTATGAGGCTGGAGAGAATTGTTTATTTATTAGTGTAAATAAGGTTAGTTAGTTAGTTCATCCCTAACACTATTTTCATCAAATAAAATACGTGCCAAATATGGTATCGTGTAATTTTCATACTTAGACGTACGTGCATAAAGTCTTCTGAAACTGCTTCTTGTTTTACCTGAGCTGTGGGTAAAGTGGGTGCTCACAATCTGACAAAATTCTTTTAGCGAATTTGTTGCATGACATCAAGTGCCTGTCAATGACAATGTCAACGATATGGCCTTACTGACTAGCAGTCTTCAGAATTCTACGAAGTATGACATAGTCTTTTTTAAGCAATCCAGGAAAGAATAGGGGTGAATAGTAAAGAAGAATGGGTAAGACGCAGGAGTTGATAAACTGTAGGAGAAGGGGGAGAGGCTGAGTTAAGCCTGAGTGCTTTAACTTCTTAATGTAAAAGGTCAGATGGGATATTTTTCTACAGATCACTAAGACTTGGGAAGAACAGCATAGATCGGAAGAAAGAATTACTCCAAGATACTCAACATCTGACTTGATTTCTATATCAATATCATCAATTTTACAACAGTCATGGGAATTAACAGCTTCATTTAACTTTCATTTATATCGGAAACTGAAATTAACAGTATGACATTTAGTAGGATTTAGTTTAAGATGGTTAGGCATATTTCTGCTGAGATGCATAATTGGAACCGATAGATAACAACACATGATACTTGTTCACGTGTTTAATAAATTCATTGGTTACGTTTTTGTAACTTTTTTGTTCC